AAAAGTAGACAAATCTTCACATCTGCTTGCCAAGAAGTCCTGTGCGGCTACTTGTAATAGGTAGCATCTCTCTCTCAGCTAGTGAGTAACTACTACCTCCCGCTGCTGGTGGAGGTAGTAGTTACTACCTCCAAACCGGTGGAAGGAAGCCTCTGGGTGGATGCTGGCTCACCCACTAGGCAAAAACTCCAGCTTTACACAGCAAGTATTGTCTGGCCTTATGTTTGTCTACAGCTGCTGCACAATTATCCCCATTTTACAGCAAGCCTTGGCAGATCGTCCTCGAGTTGTGACTGCAACGGAGTCCAAAATGTATATTGCCGAGTGAAATACTTGTGGAGTGAGTTTTGCCCCCATTTTACGACCCTTCCTGCCGCATTAAATTAGTAATCTGGAGTGAATCTGGTTTCCCCCATTGGCTTTTGCTTTTGTTGCAAGGACGCCAAAGGGGATCGCGCGACTCTGGGATACCGCGACCGTCATAAAGCCGAGTCGTTTGCCAAAGCATCCAAATGGTAAATCCTGTAGCCGTGTGGATGCTGCCACGATCGTGAGTGTGAAACACGTTCATAACGTCGCTTTTTTTCAGTGCCGTTGTAACTTAGGATGGTCACTATAAGTGAACGGTTTGCAAGTTGAGGACTCTCTGTGTGGGGTTTGGAGTGGGGAGGCCAGAGGGGTGGGCTTTTGTTTGGCATCAGGAGGCCGACAGCCGACATATCCATCAAGCATGGTGGCGGAAACCATCTCCGTTTTATTTGACTCCGCTTTTTTGAAACTTTTCCGTGGGAAAAAGAAAATGCATCTTCGGAGGCATCTCGTTTTTAAGGACCTTAAAAAGGATTTTTCAAAGACTTTGTTTAAAAAGGTGAACCGAGGAAGCAGAAGATGGAGAGGAGGGGGAAAAAAAGGGAGAGGCGACTTAGAAAAAGCTTTGGTGAAAAAGAAAACATCAGGATCCTCCCCACCACCACCTAGGACCCTAGCGCGCCCCCCCCTTCCCTTAAAGAGCCAGTGTCCCTTGGCGTGGGAAACTCCGCCTCCCGTTTCCCGGCGTGCCTTGCAGGGAATAGGAAAGAGAAGGAAGGAAGGGAACTCCTGAAGTGGGAGGGGAAAGAAAAAAGTAAGTACAGTACAGCGTCCAGAATTCAGCGAAGGGATTTTAAGACGGGTGGGGTGAAAAGCAGGGATGAGAAGGGAGTGGGGGGGGGGACCCACAAAGAAAGGGTTACTCAGGATGTTTGGGGAAGCGAGGCTGGAAAAGGAGAGATTTTGGTGGCCTTTACATCTGTTATCATTCCAGAGACTGATTCAGGATAGTTCCCATACACACCCACACTTAAGGAACACATGCTTGCTTCTCCTGAAGTGCATTTACTGAGCAAGACACATTATTCCATTAGTGGCAGGATTTACTAAGAGGCTGTGGCTTTGGGGGGAAGCTGCGATGGAGCAGTTTCCCATGAATTTTTGACTTCAGGCACCTCATTTCCTCCTGTCATTTAAAGTGGCATTAATTGCCCCATTATTTCCATATTATCTGTTTGCTAAGTTGAAGCCATCTGTTTTTTTCCACGGCTATTAAAGGGAAATTGGCTCTTCAGTCTGATTAGCACACGGCGTTTCCATTCGATTTATTACCTCTCCAGGTTTTAAGTTCCTGGGTGATATAAATTATTGCGCTTTGAAACACCATCAGTTCCTCCAAATAGACTTGCTGGATAAAAAAAGCTTCCAACAAATTTCGGGGGGCGGGAGGGGGGGATGCAGAAAGAATACCAAATAGGTTGGGTGGAAGTTGGCTTTATCAAAAGGAATTTGTGTTTGTGAATAATAAGCTGGAACTCAACACTTTTGTGTCCTTTTCTGTAACGGAATTGAAATAAAAGGCCTACTTTCACCTGCGTACATCATCGATGAAGGGTCCATAAGCCACTTTAGAAGCTGTAGTTTATAAATTGGTGTACATGGAGCGTTTCATGCTTCATACTAACCCAAAACTCTGGGAGCTTCTTGGCCAAGTAAAATATGATATTAATTGCAAATCCATACGAGGGGAGAGAAGGACAGGGAAGAGCGGTTTGCAGATGTTTTTTCAGTCTGGCACAGAAACCAAAATAACTTGGGAGCTGCAACTGTCTAGAAAAGAGGCTCGGTTAATGCGGAGAAGTAAGCGGTTTGGTGCTGAAGTAGGGTCTGGATGGGGCCACTTTTGGACAATAAGAGGTTCATGGGACAGGGTGCTTCTCTGGATCTCCTTCCCTCTAGCTGAAGCCATATTTCACTTTGCTTTGTTAGAATGTAGAGTGTTTTCCTCTACAGTGCCAGACAAAACAGTGATAAGGCTCATGAGAACCAAGGTCAGCTCAGCAGCGCCCTAGCAACGGCGGAATGATTCAGAGGTGGTTTCATATTTGAACGTGTTGATAGCGTGACTTAAGCGTCAGGCAAAGCCCATTTTGGTTTGTTTTCAACCCTACAGACTGATTTGTTTTATAGGGAGGAGGAGGAGGAGGAGCCCATTCCAAGAGGTGGTGTGGAGGGAAGGAGGAAGGAAGGGATGGATGGATGGAAGCCACCTCTGGATTTGGGGAGGGGGCAGAGAGGGGCCAGGGTAAAGGTTAGGGTTGCCATTTGTCAGAAATGGTGTAGGGTCTCCTGCTTGAGGACCAGGGGTTGGACTAGATGACCGATAAGGTCCCTTCCAACTCTGTTAAATCTGAGATCAGAGATGAGGAGAAGGTGCAGCTGTTTTAGAGGAGCCCTTAAAAGGAGAGGGGAGCTGTTGAGAAGCAATCTTGGGACACCAGAGCCCAGCATGCACAGCCACTCCCTGGCCATGCCCGCTTTTCTCAACATTGGGTTTCTCCTCCTCATTTGAAAGAACCAGACAAAAAGTAGACAAATCTTCATATCTGCTTGCCAAGAGGTCCTGTGTGGCTACCTCTACCATCCTCTGGAGTCTACTGAAGCTCACACCTACTGCTTTGGTGACTCCATCCAGCCACCTCATTCTCTGCCATCCTTCTTCTTTTGCCCTCCATCTTTCCCAGCATGAGGCTCTATTCCGGGGAGTCCTTCCTTCTCATTGGGTGGCCAAAGTATTTGAGTTTCTTCAGGATCTGGCCTTCTAAAGAGCAGTCAGGGTTGATCTCCTCTGGGACTGACCAGTTGGATCGCCTTGCAGTCCAAGGGACTCAATGCAGGAGTCTTCTCCAGCACCAGAGTTCCATTCTTTGGCGCTCACCCTTCCTTATGGTCCATCCACAGCCATACATTGCAACTGGGAAAACCACAGCCTTGACTATATACACTTTTGTTGGCAGGGTGTTGCCTCTGCTTTTTAGGATGCTGTCTAGGTTTGCCATAGTTTTTCTCCCCAGGAGCAAGCCTCTTTTAATTTCTTGGCTGCAGTCCCCATCTGCAGTGTTCTTGGAGTGCAGGACAATAAAATTTGTCACTACCTCCATTTCTTCCCCATTTATTTGCCAGGAATTGGGAAGCCTGGATGCCATGATCTTAGTTGTCTTAATGTTGAGTTTCAACATTGCCTCCTTTACTTATTACTTACCATGCTGTGTCTTTTGCCGTTTTCCCCTACAACTGATGTATTTTTTGCTCTTTCCCTTTTCTCTTCCCTCTGCTCCAGCTCTTCGGAAAAGCCCACAGCTGATTCCCAAAGAGAGAAGACTTCTCGACCGCCGCAGCCATGCCCTCCAATAAGGACGTCTCTGGCTGCCTTGGCTCACCGCCAGGTTTGATCTGCCTGCCACCCATTTCCGAGCACCTCCAGCTGGTGTGGACCCAGGCGGCCCAGACAAGTGACCTGGACAGTAACCAGCACTTGCTGCAGACTTTCAGCTATTTCCCGTATCCCAGCCTTTCCGACCTGGCTTTGCTCTGCCTGCGTCATGGCCTGCACATGGAGAAGGTGAAGGCTTGGTTCATGGCGCAGCGGCTGCGCTGCGGCATCAGCTGGAGTGCCGAGGAAATCGAAGAGACTCGGGCTCGCCTCATCTATCACCAGGACCAACTCCACTTTAGTTGCCTGCTTGCTGGCAACCAGGGCGACTCCTGGCACCAGACTTGTAAAAGCCCTTCTTCGTACCACCATCACCAGCTGGCTCCCCACGCCCTGCACTATTCCGGTAAATATCCAGAGAACCAGCAACCTCTTGTAACCTCCTTAAATCATTGTAGTATGGCTCCAGGGACAAAAGAAATGGGGACGATCGCTCAGGACATTTGGAAATTGCAGGAAAACACCCCGCCGTCCCACTATAAGAAACCTCAGGAACATTTTGAACCTTCAGGGATCATGGTGAATTTTCAAAATACCAAAGAGACCATTTCCGGTGCTTATCCCCCCATCACAACCCTCGGCCTGGATTATAACCTCCCGGATTCTCATACGATGGCCTGGAGCTTCCCCACGGTGTCCCAACCGCCCCCCGAGTCCATCACGCCTGCTGTCAACGGCGGGAGCCACCCCACGATTCTTCCATTGGGTTCTTCGGTGAAAGCCGCCCAGCCGTCCTCGAAAATTACAACCAGTGTCACGGACCGTCAAAACCATCAGCATTCAGTCAGCGACCAGCAGACTTCTTTGCCAGAGGTTTTACGGAAGCCTAAGCGGAAGACGAAGGAGCAACTGGATTTGTTAAAGGCCTTCTTCCTTCACCGGCAGTGGGCCAGGAGAGAGGATTATCACCAGCTGGAGCAGGTAACCGGGTTACCCCGGGCAGAGATCATCCAGTGGTTTGGAGACACGCGTTACGCCCTGAAGCACGGTCAGCTGAGATGGTTCCGGGACAATGCAGGGCAGAGTCCAGAGCCTGCTTCCTCAGGTGGACCTCCTCCTCTTCCTCCTCCTCCTCCTCCTCCTCCCCAGCCATGCACAAATCCTCCAGACACGGGCCCCCTGGAACAGTACTGGGACACACACACACAGCCGCAGGAGAATGACTTGTCG